CAATGGGCCACCTGGTAACCTTGGCCTGAAGCAACAGCCAAGGTAACAGGCTCTGGTCCCAGGAATGCTCCAGACGCCCCCCTCACTCGCCCTTTGTTCTGGGTCTGCATTCTTGGCACCTCTAGCACTTTATTCAGTAAATTGTCTCTCAAGGTTCAGCCCTTCGTATGTGTACACATTCAGTCATGACCTTCATCCTGCAGACGTGAACTTAGCTGACATCGTGTAACCCTTGGAAAAAGTACCCGCAACCGTATCCAAAGGGCCACACCCTCTCATTGAGAGCTGGTCTCTGGGCAGACCAAGGCTTGCCCTGCGCTAGACTGTCTCAGGACTGGACAGGGGCTGAGGTGGGTACTGGTTGAGCATCAGTGAGCTCATCATGAAGAGCCAGGTCACCAGTAACAGACATTCATCTGTTGGGAGACACCATGAACTGGAGAACATCCTGCCCTTGAGAGTGGGGCATTTAATTTTCAACTCCAGGCTCTTGCCTTGGCTAGCTCCCTTAGTATCTAAAAGACACCATCTGCTTGACTTCCTATGCCCACCTGCTTGATGGGAGAATTGTCTACTCTTCCTTTTGGCCAAATCTCACAGAGGCAAGAATTAAAGATGCCAAGGGCTCTCCCCAATATCTCTTGAAAGGACCAAAAGTTTCCTTTATCTGGAAATATATTTCCTGTCTTATCTTTTAGTCTCTTTTGGAAAATTTTCAACATGTTCATTGGAAGGATTTCCCAGTCAGTAAAGTGAAGGTGGTTTTACTGGTACCACATGAATAATAATAGTAATAAGCTCTCACTGTTTTTCTTAAATCTAAGGTGGGCAGGCCACCAGAGGGTCCCAAGTGAAATGTATATCTATATCTATATCTTTATCTATATCTATCTATCTATCTATCTATCTATCTATCTATCTATATATATATATATCCCTAAAATGCAGAATAATTTCAAAATAACAGCTCCATACTGAAGCATAAAAAGAACTATTCCCTACAGATTTGTACTGCAAACAGCTACTTTTATGTCCACCCAAAAGCTAGCCACATTTACTACGGATGGTGCTTCTGATGCACTTGAAAGATATCTCAACTCTTTACCTTCAAGCTTCTAAATGAGTGGAAGGGGGCCAAATCTTCATAAACCTCCAAGGACTCCTACTGCACACAGCACCAGACCAGAAGTCTTCAAACTAGCAGAATCCTTCTTGGTTTTCTCACAATAACTTCCCAGCCTCTCCTTCCACTCTCTTAGAAGTAATTGTCTATGAAGATCTACTCACTGAAATCTGAAAAGTATGTCAGCACCCCACAACAAGACAAGTGGCCCCATCTTACATTTAAGCATATTTCAACACATCTCTGCAAACACCAAGAGTTACTTAAGTGAGATGTTCTGGGACAAAGAACATTATAAAATGTTCCGCACTAAGGAAACTTCTTCCCTGGAGCAGCCAGGCAGTTACTCATGAAACCTTACCAAAATGCTCAGTTTTCATGGAGGACTTCCCATGAATGCTTCTTTCTGGGACTCTTAGAAAGCTGCTGCACTTAGCATCAGTCTCTCCCCAAGCTTCTCCCCTACTCCACGCTCCAAACTCAAACCACTACCTGCTAAGACATTTCCTGAGTGTTCAATGCCTCGTGTGCTTCCCGGATCCTGAATGCCTCCTTCTCACAGAGTCCGTGTCTTTACATGGATGGTGGGTATGTCCTCATGCATTTGGCCAGACACTAGGATCTGCACTTGCCACATTGCCTGCTGATGCTAATCCTGGGGCCTACCCTAATTCTTGGAGTTCTTGACCCATTTCTCATTGTAGGATAACAAGTATCTTGACTGTAATCTATTAATTGAATAATTGAATAAACTTGTTTCCCTCCAGCGCAAGCACACTGTTTGCACACAGTGTCATCCCAGGCCCTCTGGCTATGGAAGGCCTGCCAGATATGTTTATTAAACCCCCTGTGCCTGGAAAGAACACAGAAAGCTGTCATCTAGAGCAATACAAAAGTGCCTATCTCAGCTGGAGATCTCGCTGTTATGAATAAAGGAAGAGTTTGTGGTACAGTTTTGAGATGTAAAGAGAAAAAGCTTCCCCACAGTGCAAATGTGTTGTAACCCTCAGGCGAGAAAAAAAATATTGAATTGTTGCTGGCAGTACAATGTAATTACTGAGTTAGTGGCGGTTATGTTTCTAAGCTTCTTAAGGTAGAAATCACATTAATTTGGCCTTCTCCAAAGGACATTCCAGGTTGTTAAACTGAACTGTTGAAACATTTCTCACTAATGAACCTGGCCAATGAACGGCCATTTTCACATAAGTCAAATGTTGGACAAGTTGGCGGCAAACAAGGAGATGTGCTACCGAGGAAGGCTTTGTTAGCAAGCAGCCGCACTGCCTTGGGAGGTGTTTTCCAATTCCTGCTGCTCAGACATCTGACCCAGGCTGCAAAGGAGTGGGAGGCATGAGGCAGACAACGGTGCTGTCCTCAGAAGTGATGGGAGGGGACCTGGTGTCTCACTGGAGGACGGAGCCCCTCATGGCACACACCCGAGCATTCCAAGATGCCACCCTGTGAACGAACAGACACTCAGCTCTTGAAAAATGGGGTCTTCTGTCCCTTCCCTGGGTCCTCAGAGCTGCAGGCATTTTCAGGGTCATAGCAGACCGTGGCTCAGAAAGACATCACGACAGCCAGGCAGAACCAGTGGGCCTGTCACCATCTCAGACGCTAGGTCACCCTGGGGCAGTCGGCACTGCTTCCTGCAGCTCTGTGTCCCTGCAAAGGGTCCTCAGTGAAGGTGGCAGGTCAGAAAAGTAGATGGCCACTCCCCACCCCCACCCCGTTTGACTTGGAAGGTTCTGTGTCCTGAAAGCAGGAGAAGGTTTTCCACGGGTAAGTGTATTTGCTGAGCACCGTCCTGGGTGGAGTCGGGACACCGTGTTTAACAAGGGCATCGGTGGGAGCTGGAGGAAGGCAGGATCCCTTGAAGGATTGTGTTTCCATACAGACGCAGGAACCCAAGGACGCATGCTGTAGTGAGGAGGTGTGCTGTAGTGAGGAGGTGTGCTGTAGTGAGGAGGTGTGCTGTAGTGAGGAGGTGTGCTGTAGTGAGGAGGTGTGCTGTAGTGGAGCTGGGTCACGGAAGCCTCACTGGCCTGCACTCACTCACGCAGACACATCAACACAGGCCAGTCTTAGTTGCTTGGTAGCCGGTTCACCATCTGTAAACCGAGTAGAAAACGGTTCACTTGTGAGGACTAGACACAGTGCTCACACAGGCTGGAAAAATACGTGACAATCAGCACACTGAGAAATTTCACTACTGATTTTTTTAAAGGTTGATTTAAAAAAAAAATCAGTGAGTTAGGATTGTTTTAATTGGTCTTCATTTGGAAGGCGCCTCTTGTGTATGCACTGTGAGCTCACCAGAGGTTCTGTCCTGTGTGGAGAAATCAGGACCGTGCTTTTTACACCCTGTCCCTTTTCTTGTATTTAACACAATATCTGTCAGCAGACCTGGAGAATGGTCTCATGGGCCGGCAGAAAGAGAGATGTAGAGTTTAGAGATTCAGGGAGAGAAAGAAAGGCAAAGGAATGGAAATCTCACCTGTGATGTCAACTTCTTAGGAACTGTAGAAGACAGAGTCCCCACATTTTGCCAGCCCCCCTTTGTTGTTGCTGTTAAGGAAGTCTTATGTAGCACAGGCTGGCCCTAGACTCACTACGCAACCAAGTATGATCTTGACCTTCTGAACCTCTCGCCTCTCCCTCCTGAGTGCTCGGATTACAGATGCATGGCAGTACGCCTGGGTTTGTGTAGCACTGAGAACCGAACCCATGGCTTTCTGCAGGCTAGACGCCATCCTGCTGACGAAGCCACATCTTTCAAAGGAAGCGAGGAGATGTCTAGGACTCTGTTAATGACCGCTTCCAAAGCTGGATGTTCTTGGAGGTGCTTCCTAAGCTGTATGAGCTGACTGTCTCTCTGTGGCAGGCCATGTACAGACGTGGCCTGCTTGGTTATGGAGGGGAATGGAATAGCGTGTGCTTAAGTTATAGAAAAGCTGGGTTTCAGAGAAGTCACCGCAATCACTTAGCTCACGCTGTCTGATGTTTTTTACTACCTCCACCAGAGCGGAAAGTCTTTCCTCCTTGCATCTTGCTGATTGGTCAAAGCTTCCCAGGATGCTTTGTAACACTTCGTGTAACCGTAGTCCTTTCTCAAGGGAACAAAAGCTGGGAGAATTGTGTTATACACTTGGTATTATTTGCATGGCCCAATAAAGCTATCTTGCTACAGATGTAGCCTTCGATAATTTATTGATGTAAAAGTGGCCTCAGGTACCAGGTTTTTTGGCCGCTGTTACGCTGTCAGAGTACACTGTAGAACATGGGATCCATGAATATTTTATGTAGAGAAGAAATGGAAAATACGGCTTTCAATATATCAGTTCCCAGTCCTGCTCTTCATTACTGAAATATGAATCGAACCCCTTCTCTGAATTTGATCAACCCAAACTGTGCGAACTGAGCACTGCCTAAATTGGATTTCAGCAGGGAATTGATTTGGGTCCTAATTTCTGTCTAGCATGTCAGTTGCTCCTGCCGGCCTGGATCGTAGGGGTGGGTGAGTGACTTCCACGTAGATGGAGGCTGGGGACCTCCCTGCTGATAGGCTGGCCTGGCCCTTCACTTTCTCCTTCCAGCAAGTTCACTGTGTGAGGAGCTGTTCAAGCTCCATTTGCGCAGTTCTGAAGCAGTTGGAGTTCATCACTCTGTCAAATGCTTCTCTTCCATTGTTGGGTTATTAAAATATGAGTTGGGAAGTTGAATCTGTCCCTTTTAGAATAAAACACTTGAAAATAATCAAAAAAGCATTTAAAAAAATAATTGTGGTTTTGGCATCCACAGTACTTGTGAGTGCTGTGTTTCTGATCTTCCAGGCCTTGGGCAACACTGAAAGCCTGTTCTCCATATCTCCAGGGCTCACCCTTTCATCACTTGGAGGTCAGTGGTCATGTGATTTGGACCACTGAGGACTGGAGAATCCAGAGGCTGAGTGCGTGCAGAGTGCTTGCAAGCTGTTGCAGGGTTTGTGGCTTTACAGGCACACACAGGGCCTTGCTGAGGACGACACACTGGGAAGCCACGCACTTGGCGGGGCTTTGCCCCTGTTTTCACAGGATCCTGCCAGGTAAGATCTTTATTCCTACCTCAGCTTGCTTTTGTGCTTTCATTATATTATGGTGTCTAGGTTTTGCATATGTTGGGGGTTTGAATTTTTTTAACCTGTCTTTAATCCCGTCTTGTCTGATGAGCTCCTGACTCAGCCTATCTATATCTTTAATTGATGCTCTCTTCAACACTGTGTGCTAAATTGCAGTTCCACAATCTACCTGAGAGACAGACAGTTCAATCAATGTACAAGCTACTCTACTTATTTTAAATAAATGCCTTTCAGACTTAGTAAACACCATTAGGGGAAACATGGATCATTTCAAATAAGGTAACTGATTTATATTTCTTCAAATGAAATCCCTAAACGCACCTAAGTAAAGAAATACTTACATGAACCCTAGGAAACTGCTTTTTGTGTGGAGTGTGTCTTGGCTTTCAGAACCATGTAGTTGATCCAGATGCCTTGAGCAACAAATGACAGGTGTGCCCTTGATGGTAGCTGATAAATGTTCTGGTACTCTTTGTAAGGTTCTAAGTTTAGGACGCCAAGATAGCCTGCTTCTGATGCTATACCTAACATGTAGCTATCACAAACTTAGTTAATATAACATTTAACAGTTGAGAACTCAAGGGCTTTAGCTTTTATTCTTTTGAAACATGTATGTAAAGGGAATACCAAATAATTACTGAGCTTAGTGAATAATTGTAAAGGGTTTTGTTCAACTTCCAGAACTTCCTCACTGTAGCCGTAGATGAGAAATGGTCCCTGTCTCATTTCTGAGTGATTTAATGCTTGGTGACTCTCCTGCTGCCCCCAAAAAAGAAAAGGGAATACATTTCACTCTCCTTGTATTACACTCTACAGGGGCATGTCCTTAGTGCAGGGCTCCTTCGATCATTGGGATGCTCATACTTTGTCTGAACGTAGATAACTACCTAAATAAATCAAGAAAACAACCAACCAACCAATTAAGCCCCTTTGTTTTCTTCCTGACTGGCCCTTCCTCTTTGTGGTCCAAGCTGACACCTGCACATTTTCCAGTGAGTGGCCTGGTCATCATGGACCTGCAAGGCTGGAGCTACTGGTTTTCCATGGATCTGATTAGGAAGTGAGTACCAGCTCCTTCAGCACTGGTTCTCATTTACCTGAAAATGACATTTTTCTACCTCTCAAAAAAAGGGTTTAAGGTGGGGATGCCAAGGCAGCAATACTACATTTTATTTGAATACATGAGCTTTGAAATCAGACAAATGTAGAGTAAGCAGTTAATTACCCACCTTACCTTGAGTAAGACTGACTTTGGTGTAAAGATCCACCCTGTGCTTCATGGGATAATAATGAGAATTAGTTCTATTTTCCTCCTTTTCTTTGTTGTGGTCCCCGGGATGGAGGCCAGGGTTCTGCACGCGCTGGGCAAATGCTATGCCACTGAGCAACATCCACAGACATTCATGGATTATGAGATAGATTCTCACTATGTTGCCCAGGCTGTCCTTGAACTTGTAATCCCCCAGCCTCTCAATTTTCTGGGGTTCTCCTATACCTAGCAATGAAAACTATGTGAGTTGTTTTGAAGATCAACTGTATCATGAGCAGAAAGGACAGTTCTGAGTAAATGTGCAGTAAAGGGGACAAGCAGTCTAGTCCTGGGCCACCACACTTCCTGCTGTGGCAGCTTATTCAAATGCAGGTTGTCTCAGAGAGCTCTAGAGAAGCAGAGTAATGGACCAGGTTTACCACCCAGATTCACCCTTACATCTCAGATGGCCCAGCTCGTTTGTTGTCTTTTCCTGTTCAGCTGTGCAGTATCATTCTTATTTAGTCCCAAAATCCCAAAGGCAATTCCAATAGCTTCCTTTAACACTGATTAGCAAGAGAGGGATGAGCCTGGCATCTAAACACTATAGTTGATCACAGACCTAACACTTATCTGAGGCACTAAGGGACAAGTCAGTCACTTAGTTGTCCTTATGTGTGCCACGTGACTGAAAGTGCTAAGAGACTGGTGTAATGCTTTGAATCTGACATGTCCCTCACAGTCTTTGGTCCCCAGCTGGGTATGCTGGTTGGGCAGGTTTGGGAGGTGTGGCCTTGCTGAAGGAAGTATGTTACTGGAGGGTGGGCTTTGAGGTTTCAAAAGCCCATGCCATCACCAGTGTGCTCTCTCGGCTTCCTGCTTGCAAGTCAAGATGTGAGCCCTCAACCTGCTGCCTCTTCTCCGCCATGATAGATGAACTGTAAGCCCAAATAACCTCCTTCTTCTGTAAGTTGCCTTGGCTGTGGTGTTTTATTACAGCAACAGAAAAGTACCTAACACAACTGGGAGTTGTGATTTAAACGAAGTTTATTTTATTTTTATTTATGTTTATGGGTGTGCATGCACACATGTGTGCAGCTGCCTGTGGAGACTGGAAGAGGGTGATAGATCCCAGAAACCTGGAATTACAGGAGGTTATAGCCATCCAAGTGAGGGTATTGGAAGCCAAAATCAGGTCTTTTGAAAGAACAGTATGTGTTCTGAACAGCCAAGTCATCTCTCCAGCTAGGCAGGCCCTGCTGGGTGTAGAGACACAACTACGCGTTCTTTCTATTAAAGGCAAAGAGAAGCTCGCAGTCTTTTTGTTTGTTTATTTGTTTGTTTTTCAAGACAGGGTTTCTCTGTGTAGCTTTGCACCTTTCCTGGAACTCACTCTGTAGCCCAGGCTGGCCTCGAACTCACAGAGATCCGCCTGCCTCTGCCTCCCGAAGAAGCTTGCGGTGTTATTCAGTGGGACATCACTAGCAGGAGACTGCTCAGGACAGAGGAAGAAATGCATGTCTGCTGGCTGCCAACTATGAGGTTGCCCACACCTCACTTTGCTATCATGTCATGGAAATGATGCCTTTCTCTCTCTCTCTCTCTCTCTCTCTCTCTCTCTCTCTCTCTCTCTCTCTCTCTCAGAGATGGGAGGAATCCCAGGAGTAGCCCCTGCAGGGCAGGAAGGATGGCCATTGCAGAGTGAACCCTGGAATGCTCAGTGAGTTCTGCTCAGGAAAGAGCTGGGTAAGTCAGAACACTAACCATCTGAAGCAGAATGACTAGTCAGTGTAAATATCAATAACTTACACAAACTACTTATTTTGATTTTCTTTCCCCTTTTTTTTGGACAGAGTCTCATGTAGCCCATGCTGGCTCTGTACTTGCTGTGTAGCTTACAGTGATAGGATTATTGGAGTGGGACACCACTAAATAAGGACTGAATAAGAATGAGTAACTGAGCAGCAGCACAGGGAAAAACAGCAGAGAGTCAGATCCCCTAAGACGAAGGGTGGATCTGGGTGGGAAACCAGGCCCACTCTATGTGGTGCTAGGGATGAAACCCAGGGCTTCCGGATGAAACCCAGGGCTTCCGCTGTGCTAGGCAAGCACTCTCCCGACTGAATTATGTTCCCGCCCAAATGCTGGTAACTGACAATCTATGAAGATAGCTAGAGACAAATTATGACAGTCTAGATCTGGCTGTGTCTGTGAAGTGTTTACTGCACTCTTCTCTTTACATATGATGGTCAGTTTTCAGTTCTTTTTCCTATAACACTGCTATGGACTCTAACTACCTTTAAAAACTATCAAATTCACAAATACTTGCTTTGAAAAAATTTCTTCAAAGCAAAAGAAAATTTCTCCCAAAAGATGTAGGGTAGTTTTCTTTTTAATCCCAAATGACAAGATATCATTCTTCTCTTCCATGCACAGATTAGTCACTGTGGTCACCAACTGCCTGGTTTGCCATTTAGCAGGCTGTCCCTGGGCCAGCCCATCCCTTTGCTCTTGTGAGCTAGTCTTATATCTCTGATCAGGTCAACATGGTGTGGCAAGGCTTACATTCAGGCTTGTCTATTGGTTCATTGGGAAAACATAAAGGTGGAATGAGTGACGATATAATATTTATTTTAGGGGCATAGGAGATAAGGAGACCTCAGGGAAGACATTGCCCCAAATGACACACTGTCTTCCAAATAGCCAGATTGGTGAACTTTCTCCTTACTGTGACCAGGCACACAAAAGCAGCTACTTATAGGAGGAAGAGTTTACCTTGGTTTCTGGTTTCAGAGAGTGGAGTCCATCATCTGGATGAAGACATGGAGGAGGTCATGACAGTGGAAACGTGTGGCTGAATCTCAGTGGGCCCAGAAGTGGAGACCTGGAAGCGGAGGCTAGAACCATGGTCCGACGGCTACACTGTAGTCCATAACTCCCATCCCTATGGCCCTAAGTCTATCAGCTAGGCCCGTGCGCTAAAGGTTCCAAGACCTCCCAGTAGAGTGATACCAGATGGGACCAAACGTCCAAACCTGTGGAGGAGTGTACACACACAGACTGTATGATGGCCATGACAAAGGACTTGTGCAAGACTCAAGCCTGAGTACTGATGCTTCCTGACACGGGACATGGGGAAGGGACTCACATCCTCCATTTCTGCTAGACACAAGACCCTTCTCTAGCCCCCACACCCCCAGGCTGTTCCTTTAGGCAGGTATTATTTGGAGTACACTCATATCTTTGAAGTACTCAGCAGATGAGGAAATTATGTGGCAGACATACCCTATTTCTGTCTTTAATTAAAGGAAATACACCTTTTATAGAGAAAGCTATAACATTAAAAAAGAAAACATTTTGAAAAAAAAAATCATCTGACTTGGTACTAAATTCCATTAAGTGTTTTTGTACACTTGTGTCTAGGTGAACCACAAATGTAATCTTCATGTTAGGGAGGCCAGCTGGTGTCTCAAAATGAGAGAAAGAGAGAGAGAGAGAGAGAGAGAGAGAGAGAGAGAGAGAGAGAGAGAGAGAGAGAGAGAGATGAGGAGAGAAAAGGAGGAGAAGGGAGGGGAGGAAAAGAAGGGGGAAGGGAGAAATGAGAAGAGAGGGAGATTTCATTCACAAAACATCTTTTACTTTTTGCTCAGAACTGATGCTCAGGTCTATCAGGGCCTCGAATTTTCAACAGGACAAAGGGAAATTGTGGCTTAAGTGAACTCTGGACTATGGGTTGCAGTTTTATAACAAGAGAGCTCCCTAATTCTAATACCCCTTGATCTCAGGAGGAGTGAGAAATATTGGAGATGGTCAGGGTTTTCAAGCCCCACAGAACTGGACTTGCTTGTTCATTCAACCATTCCATGTGATCTCGGGCTCTAGTGACTCTGCCTTTCAAACAGGGACCTGGGAGTTTGGCCTTTAAGATTAGCTAACATAGAGCCACGAACCCTGCATCTGCTCTGGCCCATAAGGTCACATTTCATAAATAACCTGCTGACATTCATTCCATTGTAGTAAATATGCTGTCATCCTCAGAGTCATAATGTAGGTATTTTAAAAATGCGGAAACTCACATGATGCAGTCGGCCTCACAGAGCCTCCTGTTTTTTGTTGTTGTTGTTGTTTTGTTGTGTTTTTTTGTTTTGGTTTTTTTTTTGAGTTGGATGATGGCACGGACTCAGTTGGTCAACCTGGACCACCTGGGAAGCACAGGCCCTAAAGAAAGCTTGTAGTCCAGCCCCTCCAACAATGGCACAGGGCAGGTTTGGAGCCTGGAGACCATCAGCTCCTTTAATCAATGCAGGAACTTTGCAAGTATACGAAGGGATTCTGACATTCTATGACACATGTTGAAAGTCTCCCATTTCCAAACAAGAGTCCCACAGTATACAAAAGCAGAACACACCCAGGAGGTAAGGAAGACTCAGAACTGTGTGGGTATCATCCAAACACAAACCCTTTGTGGATATAAACAAATATTTAGAAGGCAGCTTCGCAGCTATATCAATTTAGTTATGCAACAGGAGTAAGCTCTCTCTGGGGTCCAAGACTTCCTTAGCTAGATCTGGGCATAAATTCCCTGATCTTGTAGAGCAGGCCTCCAAAACAATCAGAGAATGGTTGGCTTTAGTTTTTTTTAAACTAATTATCTTAACACTCTATTCTCTGGAATATATTAGAAATGTGGTAGAAACTACTTAATCCCTTCACATTCCCCCTTAAGTGGTATTTTAAAATATTTAATATTTTAATCTCCTGAAAGTATTGTCTTTTGGGTTAGAAACTAAGATTATAGGATAAGTGGTAATAACAAATATAGACAGAGTTTTCCGGTCCCAGGAGCCACTTCCACATTACCATACAGAGGCCTATATTAACTGTAAATGCTCAGCTGATAGCTCAGGCTTCTAATTAACTAGCTCTTACATTTAAATTAACTCATTTTTATTAATCTATGTATGTTTTGCCACATGGCTTGTGGCTTTACCTGCCCTCTAGCATGTCTTGCTTCCTGGGCAGCTGGCAGGCATCTCCCTGGCTCCGCCCTTCTTTTCCCCAGCATCCTCAGTCTGATCTCCCTATACTTTTTGCCTGGCTATCAGCCAATCAGTGTTTTATTAACAATGAGCATAACCCACAGCAAACACAGGCTCTGTGAGAAATAATGGCATAAGTAAAATAAGACTATTTCTCTTTCTTTCCTGAGTCTGGAAGACTGTGGTTCATGCCTCATAGGCAGCTGGGTAACCCTCAACATCATCTGTTACAGGTGTTACAACTTCCCACTTATCAGGTAGAATGAAGAGGGAAAGTGTGGCAAATGACTTATCATCAAGGGGATGATCCATCTCTCTGGTTCTAGTGAAGCCTCCTAGGTATGCCTAGCTGCAAGAGAGTCCAGGAAATGTAGTCCCCAGATGGATAGTATAGCCTCATAGGTATGCCTAGCTACAAGAGAGTCCAGGAAATGTAGTCCCCAAATGGACAATATAGCTTCACAGGCATGCCTAGCTGCAAGAATACTTGAGAAACACAGACCCCAGATGGGTAGTCAGTGTGTGTCTAAACACAGTCTCCTATTACTAAACACAGAAGCAGGAGAATGCACACTTAGGGCATGTAGGCAACTCTGAAATTGTTTTCTTTTTCTTTTCTTTCTTTCTTTTTTTTTTTTAGTGAGAAAGACTTCAGCAGAAATACTTGAGATATTTCTGCTCAATGAAATAGTTTTCTATAGTCTGACTATCAGTCTGTTTCTATTTCTGGGATGATAAAAATATGGAAACCAAGTTGTAAATACTTGGTTATTTATAAGCAGGGAGTTCAGTACCAGGAATCTTTATTAAACAACAAACAGATGAAACAGTGCTAAAATCATGTTTGTCTCATGGATTTCTGGGATACTTAGGACCCTTTGCTGTCAAAAGTTTATTGCCAGGCCTTTATGAGATCTGCATTTTCAACTAGGGAGCACAAGGCTGTTTCAGCAAATTGCCCATGAAGAACTGAAGGATGTTATGCTTGTTTCTTCACTTGGATAAATATATATTGATCTCAACCCCCGAATAATGAATTCAGGGCTTGTTTAGATCTTGTCTGGTACCTATCATAACAGTTAAGAAAACTGGTGATCAGAGTAGTTCCAGGACTTGCCTGAAGAGGCAGAGGGAAGACACATTGATAAAGTGTTATGAGTATCTGTTTGATAACAGTAGAATTCCTATCAGTGCATTGAGTGAGTGGATGAATGAATGTGTGCATGCTAAATAAACATGATGGGCAACAGAGGAAGCCTCTGAGAAGACTTGAGTAAACAAGGAAGCTGTAACTGATTGGTAAACAGGAGGAAGGCAGTCGAATGGAAGTCACATTTCCTGAGATTCAACCTCTAAATGGGCTCTGCTGAGTGAGACACATTTCATCTTCCCTGGGAACCATCTGGGCTTTGCCTATAAACACATCCTGAGGAGAGCATGAAGGCCCTCTGGTTGAAGCTCTGCTTATCCCAGAATCTGATCAGGTCAGGTCACATCCCTTCAAAAGCAGCCTAGCACAACTCTTTGAAAATGCCTTTTCCTATTATTAAGACAGGGCACTGTCTTGCCGAGCTGTCTTTTCCTGCACCTGGGTAAGTGTTTCATGAGTCACCTGTGCACAGCCTGACGGCAGAGCAGTTCAGAAGGTCACAGCCTCTTCCTGGCTCTAAAATCCTGCCCGTTCTTGGAATGAGGGGTATTGTTTCATCGGAAGAGAGCTAATTAGGTTAGGGGCACATTGATGAGCTGTATAGGTGTCTATACACAATAAATAAAGGAGAGAAAGGAGGACAAGAAGGAAGTGAAAACACATAATGAAAGCCATAGAAAGTTGACTCTCCACACATGAAGCATCTGAAGAAAGCCAGAGAAAAAATTTAATTTGCTTCTTCAGACCTCAGAGCACTGATTCCCAACCTTGGTTTTGTGACACTCCAGGATGTCCCCAATTATCTCAACAAATGTCATAAAATGTTCCAAAGAATCCCTTGAGGTGAAATTAGTTTTATTTCATTTAAAAATAGATGGCCCATGATTCTCTCAGAGCAAGGTAATCAAATGACTGATCAGCCGCCACCAGCCTGAGAAGGCTGCGGAGAGCGCTGACAGAAACACACTGACATTTAGGAAGCAACATTTGAAATACTTATCTAGATTTTTTATCATCTATTCCCTTGGAATTTCTCTTTTTAAAGTAATAATAGTGATGAAATGCTAGAGATGCACACTTCCTACAGTAGGTAGACAGTAAGGAAGATGAGATTCAGGATCAAGCCCCTCCCACAGAAATTGGTTTAGGCACTCAACTGAAGAAGAATCTTGGTTTCTTCTGGTCTACAATAGGAACACTAGCAACTACCCACTCACCAGAATTCTGTCATCAGATGAGATAGTGTGCAACATGGTGGCTGCCTTGTGCTATGTCCTTCATTGAAGATCCTTTTGGGATGCTTTCTTGCTTTTTTTTTTAAATAAATCTTTTAAGTTTCAGATTTTTAAATTGTATTTATTTATATTTTATGTATGAGTGCTCTGCCTGCCAGAAAAAGACATTTGATCCTGTTATAGATGGCTGTGAGCCATCATGAGGTTGCTGGGAATTGGACTCATGACCTCTGCAAGAGCAGCCAGTGCTCTTAACCACTGAGCCACCTCTTCAGCCCCTGTTTTCTCTCTTTTATGATGGAAGAACAATCTGATATAAATCCTCCTCGTGGTGATCATGATGGCAATGGTCACCACTGGGAGGTTGCTTTGTGTAGGGGTGATGATTGTGGCCTTATGTGATAATGCTGGCCCCAAGTGTGAAGAACAGACATGTCTGTCACCCCTGAAGACTACCAACTACTCCTGAACAGAGGAGGCAGGAGTCTAGCTGAGCAATTTCCTTTCACTACTGAGAGTGATTCTGGGACTCAGGCGCTGTGCGTGGATCAGATGTATTTCTTCAACATTTGAAAAGGGCATGGGAAAGGGTCCCAATCAGCAGGCTTCGGGGGATCCAGGCATCCATGGAGGAAGATGGAGAGTGCTTCCCTCTGGACAGGAGTGTCTGACAACATCAGAGAGGACCTCCAAAGGACTAAGAAGTCAACCTCTGCTCCTTCCACAGGGCCAAAGGAACCAAGACTAGGGCAGGTGCTTATCCTATTCAAAGCCACCCTGTGGCTAGGGACTGTGGGTCTCAGCTGGTTGTATTGTTCTCTTACACCTTCCAGAACAACACCAGGGAAGAGCTGGACTTTACCAACCTTCACAGCTTTCCTGGTTTTATCTGCTCTAAAACA